TGCCCTCACTTTCACTCACGGCAGGCTCTGTGCCCAGAAAGTGCTCCTGGCCTGGGCAAGAGGATGAAGTCACTTTCACAGGACTTTTATCATTCTTACCAAACCACTCCAAGCCCACGGGGTTGCTGAGGGCTGCCTCTATATTGCTTCGACTCTGACCAGTTCCTTTTTTCATGAGTGACACACTGCCCTTGCCCTTGCTAGCCTGGTGCCCCCAACGTGGCCCTGGGCTTGGACAAGGCCAACTTCCTGGCTGTTAGTTTGCAGCCTAGTTCTGGGGTGAACTCTCCAGGCGGCCTGGGGCAGGGAAGGAGGTGGCGGGTGGGCAGCTGTGGGGGAGATGTGCTGACCTTGGGGGCCTCTGGAAGCAGCCCAGGTTTGAGTTTTGTCCACTTCTTCTCAAGGTCAGCCATGCCAAGTCCGAGAGCTAAAAGTGTGGTGGGCACGGGGTAGGCTGAGCCACTGGAATGAGAGCGCTGGGGAGGGCAGGTTGCAGTGGGTGCTAAGAGGCTGACCTGGCTTCAATAAAAGCCTCATTCAGAGCTGCAGAGCCCCTTCCATATGTGGACCTGAGAGACTTCAAGTTCTTGGGTGAGGGAAGGACAGCTGATGGGGTTCCCTGCCCCAGGCTGGTGAGAGACGGAGAGGAAGGCTTAGGACTCTCAGTGGGGGTCCCTGAGGACATTCCTGAAACCCAGCTCTGGAGGACACTGCCCACCCTTGGAGCCTCAAGTCCTCTCGCCCTCCTGCAAGACCGCTTTGGTGCTTCCTGTCCTAGAACTGAGGCCTCTTGGTCCAGAAAGGTGAGGTGGCCTCTCCCAACCACCTGCAGGGTTCCCAGCAGAGGCTCGGGATTCTGTTGCGGGAGACCCAGTGCTCTCCTGGACATTAACCCAAAGGTCAGCCACTTCCCTTTGGGAGAGGTCTGAATGTGTAGCCACGATTCAGTGGCTAAATGCAAAGACAAGGAGAAAACAGTTGAGCTGCTGTCAGTGGCAGTGTTGTGGCCCAGACGTTCATAACTTTCTTCAGGATGTTTTATGACCTGTTCCTGTCTCCTGTCTGTGCCCCCCTTGAGGGAGCCCCACTGCACGTATCTTACCTGGGGTGGAAGGAGGTACCCTTGGTGGGCCTCCCCAGTCTGACCCTATGAAAGCCCCATCTGTCTCCCTCCTTCAGATGATGTGATGTCCCCCAGGTACCTGCTCCCCTGGGCCCATGGGTGGCACTTGTTTGCTGGGACTAGAGGGTGAGCAGTCAGGTGTTCCTGACTGTCCACTGACATCCAGGGCTGGCTCCTCCACCCTGAGCACTAATCTAATGAGGAAATAGTGGAGTCCACGTTTCCCAGGGGTTATAAATAGCCACAGCGGTTTAGGCAGCATCATTTCTCTGGAAAATGTCCCATGTCGCTCTCCACTCCCCACCCTCCCTTCTCTGCATTTAAATGACATCCTGAAATAGATTTGGTTTCTGAAGGCTGCTGGCCTCCTGGGAGAAAGCAGCATTGTTAGGGTGACAAGGGGCTGGGCAGACCTTCCTGAGTGGGGACCAGGAAGATGGCAGGACCATCACCTGCAGCAAGGACCAGGAAGATGGCAGGGGTGGGGATTCACAGCAAAACAAGAAAGTGGCACCTTACCCAGGCCTGGCCTCAGAATGGCTGGAGCGTGTGACAGCAGCAAGTGCACCTGGCAGGCTGCAGAGGGGCAGGAGCTTAGTGTAGCAGGAGGACAGAGAGGATCTGAAGATCCTGTGGCCTGGGGTATCCAGCAAGGTTTTCTGGAATAGGCAGGGCTAGACCTGGGTCTTAGCATAAGGAGTTGCTTTTTCTTGCTATTTGGCAGCTGGAACAGAAGCGACAAGAAGGGAGGGAACAGAAAGACTGTATGGGAGGTGGCCTGCCAGCACCCAGGACAGCCTGCTCAGCCAGACCACACTCCAGGAGGCCTGATGTCTTTCTGGGTAAATAACGGTAACAGCAGCTGCTGTTGTTGCTGAGATGTGCAGGTGCCAGGTTAGGTATTTTGCACGTTATCTTGCAGCTTTAGCAGAGAGGGTGAGTCAGGGAGACTGGATTTCATACCCCAGGTCTCACTTCCTAGTTGTATGGCCCTGGGCAAGTTCCTCATACTCTTTAAGCCTCAATGTTCTCATCTGTAAAATGGGAACAGCTGTGAAGGCTTAAACCTCACAGGTTTGTTAAAATAATTAACTGAGATGCTGTATGTAAAGAACTTATCATAGTGTCAGACTTATAGGACGTGCTCAAAATATGCCAGTTGCTGTTACATCTTCCATAACAACCAGATGAGGTAGGTACGGACACCCCCATGAAGAAGGAGGTTTAACGAGGTTAAATCCTTGCCCAAATTCACACAATTGGATGGAAGACCCAGATCAGCCTGACTCCAGTCCCTGCGCTGTCCCCACGCAGGCTGTGTCCAGATGCTGCAACAAGGACTCAGGGAGGAATCACTGGCTCAGTCCTTAGCAGCAGCCAGGGGGTGCCAGGTCATGGGAGCCTTGGGGAGGGGAGAGGCTTTAGGTAAATTCAGTCAGGTACAGGGGCATGGAATTGGCCTGAGTCTTATGCTGAGAGATCTGCCTTCAAAAGGGTGGTCACTTCAGAATGTGTCACCAAAAGTTAAGATCTCTCTACCTGGTAAGGCCACTACTGGACAGAGCTGGGGACAGTTCTAGGACCTGTGTCTGAGACCCAGTGGTGGGGATGGGATGTAGGAACTGCAAGTGGCAGCCCGTGCTGTAGGTCCAAGGAGGGTTTGGGACACAAAGATGTTTACAGGGGAGGAGGTTTCAGGAAAGTGAGGCCAAAGTTGGGGCTTCCTTTGGGACGCAGGAGTAGCTGTGGCCTCAAGCCTTCAGAGATAGGGAGCCTGGGCAGAAGCCAGGCTGGTGACCACCTCAAGCTTCCCTGTGTTTGAGGAGGTACTGGGGACAGTGGTTCTCCCCAAGGGGTGTTTGGTTTTCTCAACACCACTCTGTCCAATTCCATCCCTCCTCTGGGCAGGAACTGACTGCTGAAGCTGGGTTTGGGCCACAGCTGGCCCGAACGCAGGGCCCCAAGTGAGCCTAGTGCAGACCCCAGATCTAGGTTTCCTCCTGCAGTGGCTGTTGGAGGAGCAGCATGCAAACTATGGCACACATACCCCTGGTGGTGGGTGTGCAGAGCCTTTCCCAGGGCTATGTGGGCAGGGACAATTTTAAGGAAATCAGCTTACAGAGCCTCAACTACCACAGGTGTTATTTCCAAAAAGCGATCTGCCTGAAAGGCCCGAGGCTCACTGCGGGGGCTTGGCCCAGGGCTCCCAGACCTCCTGGGTGGTGAACAGAGGGGCCTTAGAATGTTGGTGTAGGTGTTGAGAAAGTAAAAGATTCAAATACCTGGTTACAAAGTCTTTCCACAGTCAGGTGCTATCCAGTTCTTTGCCTTCCACAAGACTGATGGAGGGCCTCATTGTCAGCTGAGAAATCATTTAAAATACTGTTTGATAATAGGTAAATATGCAATTTAAGGCAAATAATATGGAAAAAGTTTAAAGAATTGCATAAAATTGCTATAATAAAACTCTTCTTAGCCCCATCTACTTGTTTACGTGGACAAAATGTTTCGTCATTTACATCTTTTAAAACAAAACTAAAAAAATTATGAACAGAATTGGTGCTAACCTCCATTCCACTCTAGCAAAAAATAAATAATATTCACATAGATATGTCAACTAAAGCAGGAAAAATGTCCCCCTCATTCTCATTACGAGACACAGTTCCACCAAAATTTTTGATAGTGTACTACTAATCATGGTAATTACCAATCCAGAATTTGTTTTGAATATTCGTAAACTTGTCGTCTTAGGAAATTTTTCATTTCAATTTATAGATATTTTTGTGAAAGCAAAATATAATGGGGTGATTAATAAAAGACTTGAAAATATGAAAATATAAGTTAGGACAAACTTCTTTAGGAGAAATGGAATAGAAACCTACATCCGAGGAGAAAAAGCAGGATTTCTGCAAGGGAAAGAAGAGTTTGTTGATATATTTTTAAAATGGACGATGGTGGGTATCAAATCACTATGATATTTAGGTTTCAATGAATACATTTAAAAGACTGATGTAACAGTTTTATTTTAAGATGGCAATATTTACATTATTTTGGAAATTATATTCTTTGCAGATATTTAAACTTGTCAGGGAAATGTTCAGATGTTAACATAAAAATGTACCAGGGAGTGCATAGTTTCAATTTTTGAGGGGAGGGAGTAGCTGACAGGACAGGTAAGGGGATGCAATCAGAATTATTTTGTGGGGCCTTATTTTGAAGGCCACCAAGTTAAAGAAACAGAGTCCTTAATAGTCCCTTGTGAGGGATGCTCCCCACCCTCCCCTGGCATCCGCACCCTGGTGGGGCTGAGTCTGGGGACCTGAGTCTGGGGACCTCCCCTATACAGAGTGTTTGTTTATTTGGGAGTCAACTGCTTAACCCAACTTATTGCACTGAATCCTCACCCCAAGCCTGTAAGGCAGGTCTGTTACTGGCTGCCATGTATAGTTGAAAAAACGGAGGCTCAGCGAGGTTAAAATTGGACAAGGTCCCATTCCGGAAGCAGCAGAGGTGGGATTCAAACTCAGGCAGCCTGATTCCCGAGAATGAGAATGGAAACCTCAGTTTCTGGATCTGTGAAATGGGGTGGCAATACCTATCTTGCAGGGTGGTGGTCAGGAGTAAATGAGGTGTGGTGGGCAAAAGTGCCTAACAGAATGTGCCACCCCTTCATAGGGTGGGGGTCCTCCACTAGCCAGGGTCACCCTGCAGGGTAGATTTGGAGATAAGCATCAGGTGCCCCCCACCTTTAGTTCTGCCCTCCTGACCACATAGCTGTCTGGTGAGCAGTTACCGACCAGCAGCAGGGACAGCTCTGGCCTGTCTCTGGGCTGCCACCTCTCCCTCACATGCGTTCTCTCTCTCTTTTTCTCTGCAGTTGGACCCACAAACTGTAGAGACCAAGAACTGGCACACGAATGGTGTGAACCTAGGGAGCCAGGGAATGTCTGCCAGCAGGTGGGCAGCCCTGCGCTCTGCTTTCCTCAGTGTCCTGTGCTGCCTCTACCTCTCCTAGCCCAGTCCCCCCCTCCTCTGCCCACACCCTTCCCACGCCATCATGGGGGTGTTCAGGGAGGCTTGGGTGTGGAGGTAGCTTCTGTTTGCAGGCCTGGGGAGGGGGACCCCATGTTCTAGGGGGCGTTCCTCAGGCACTCATGCCCTGGGGCCCTTGTGCCTGCCTCACCCCCACCCCTCCCAACCAGATCAAGGCGGAATTCTCCATGAAGTTCACCAGCCGAGATATGAACCTGAAGAGGACCCCGTCCAAAAAGCAGACCGGCATGTTTGGTGTGAAGATCAGCATGGTGACTAAGTAGGTGCTGCCTCCGGTGTCCAGTGCTAGCACCCGTACCTGGGTCCCCGCTGGCCCCTGCTCCCAGCACTCTCTGCCCGCTCCCAGCACCTCATCAGTCACCCCAGGTTCAATAGTCACAAATGGCCAGTGTGCAGGCCAGAAGTGGCCCACTGAGCTGTGTTCTCTGCTCACACAATGCTTTGGAAATAAGCCAGCATTTAAACATTGGAAGGTTTCATGTGAAAGTCCCAGATTGTCCACTTCTTGTAATACATGGGAAGATTTCACAGCTGGGAGCCCACATGGTGGCTCGACAGCAACAGGCTGGAATCCAAGGAGTGGCTGCCCCTCGGGAAAGGACATGTGTCCTTCAGCTTATCACCATCCCTCTGTCCCCTATGTCCCCAGGACCTGGCCCACCTCCCTCATGCAGGTTACCCGCTGGGCCCCCCACAGGCATTTGAAGCTGAGGGAACAGTCTTTCCCGCATCTTTAGGCTTATCTCCCAGGTCTTTCTCCTGCCTGTGTCCCTGCTGTCCCTCAGCAGGCAGCCTTGGGTGGGCTGGGGTGGCTAGCCTCTTTCTCAGCCCTTTCCCTGCCCTCACGCCTGATCCCAGAGGTCAGAGCTCTCCACAGCCTAGGCGTGTGGGGGTGAGGTGGCCACAGTGGGGCCACCATTGGAGGCCTCCCTCCACCCCACCCTCCCCTCACCCCCCTTACCCCCAGGCAGAGTGCTCCAAGGTGCCCTACATCACCCGGCAGTGTATGGAAGAGGTGGAGAGGAGGGGCATCGAGGAGGTCGGCATCTACCGGGTATCAGGGGTGGCCACGGACATCCAGGCGCTGAAGGCTGTCTTTGATGCCAGTGAGTCTGGGAGGCCCAGCCTGGGCAGGAGGGGTGTCTGGGTGGGCTCATGGGGCAGGAGAGAGTTCAGTGGATCCAGGAGGCCTTCTCCCTGGAGAGGCCTGGGCTCACCCATGGCAGAAGAGCCTTGGTCTGTGACCTGCAGTCCACCGTGGCATGGGGTGGACCATTCTGAGTCCCCATGGCTAGCGCCTTTTCTGCATTTTCTCATGCAATCCCCCACCCCTCTAAGCCCTTATATATTGCTACAGATAAGAAGACTGAAGAAGCTCAGAGAGGACAAGCCACTTGTCCAGGATTACCCAGCTTATAGGTTTTGAGCCTGGACTTAAACTCAGATCCTCTGACTCCAGAGTTTGTGTTCCTGGCTTTCTTGCTACCTCCTGGGTGCTTAGTGGGCTCTAGAGAAATCAAAGAGCTTTGAACCTAGGCTTGCTGGCTCTTGCCTCCCTCTGCTTTCTCCAGAGCCTCGGGTGCCCTTTGGAGCACATCTTCCTCTGTATAAACTCCTCAGTGGTAGGGCCTGATCTTTCTGGTTCCTTCTTACCCCATCCTGCTGGTTCAGGCTGCAGC